TATGACTTAGAAGGAAACCAACCTGAAATAGCAACTGGAACCTTTGCAAATGCAAAGGTTGATATCTATTTGATAGAAATTTTTTTCCCCAATTTGAAGGTAGAAGTTTGTGGTCCTTATCCCTTTGTAGTGCTACAAGTAAATCAAGAATAATTTTTTAGGTCTTAGATACATCTTATTTTTTCCCCAATTTGAAGGTAGAAGTTTGTGGTGCTACAAATAAATCAAGAATAATTTTTTAGGTCTTAGATACATCTTCCAAATAATGAAGGTAGTAACACATGTTTATTACAGGAAACTGACAAAGTCCAGAAGACGTTTAATGAAGAAAAATAAAATCTTGCATAATCCAACTGAAAATGCTCATTTTTACCTTAAGTCAATGTACAGTTGGTTTTGTACTGGTTGTACAGTATATCTCACTCTTTTCACTTAACATTGCGTTGGTAATATATCATTGATTTTCTTAAAAAAATATTTGTCATGGCTTTATAATAGTCTATTGAGTGGATATATTACTTATTTAACTCTTATTTCTGTATATTAAGATGGCATCTGTTATTTTGCTATTGTTATAATGAATGACTTATACAGACATCTAAAGGACTCTAATAATAATAAACTAAGAGCAAATAAAAAATTTGAAGTTACTGGGCACATGTTTCTATAGGTTAAGAATCAGAAGTTATCATTGGCTTCCCATCTTTATGGTGATTTTTTACTCGATCAACTAAATAATACCTAGACTTGTTAGTGCATCAACCTTTTATGTTATCTATTTTCAAATCAATTTTTAATATTCTACTTAAGTTTAAAAACTCTTAAACTAACTTGGAAGTTTTGCCTCTTCAATGGAATATGTATTATTTGTCTAGCATATTACCCCAAAATTTAGCTTTTAGGATTTACACTCTCATATAGTTTTGTGGGGCAGACATCCGGGTGTGACTTGGCTGGGCAATTCTGATTGAGGGTCTCCTAAAAGGTAAAACCAAGTATCATATTGTTAAATGGTACATTTATAAGAACTAAAAGGATGAAGTAAAAAAGCATATAGTGACTCAAAGTTCAGGAGAGCTGAAGCTTGCTGAGGGGAGGGACAGAATGCGCTAGAAAAGCTCGCAGGGGACTCTTGAGGAACTGGCAACATTTTATCCTTTAATCTGTATTGGTGAGTACAGTGTTTGCCTTATTTTTTAAATCTACATAAATCTTTTTATACTCTTCCTTGATATGATACATTTCACAATAAAGCAAATGAAAAAAAAGCACATCATAGAGTCAAACTATTTCAATACTACTTTCAGCAAGAGAACTGTATTGAACACATAAGCACTCACTATGTGACATGCATTGTGATAAGCATGTCAAGTGATTTTTTTTTCCATTTACTTCTCACAACAGAAAGAAGGTATTTTTTTTCTTTTTTTTTTCCTCATTTGCCAGATGAGAAAACTTAAACTTAGAGAAATGAAAACACTTGCCCAAGGTCACACAACCGGCGCATCACGGAGCTGGGATTTGGACCCAGATGAAAGATTCTGGAGCCAAACATCCTAACTGCTAAGTTAAAACTAGGATTTGTGCCTAGATTTAGCTCCGAGTGTAAAATGATGAAATGAAATGCTAAATTGCTTCAGTGTTGGAAAGAGACCTGAATGGATAACGAACTAGTCTCCGGCACAGGTGAATGGGCCAACTCTCACACCCCTCAAGGTTCTTCCATCTCTCTTCACTGTTCCCTGATGATGAAACACCCCTCGCCTTTGTACCAGGATTCCAAACGAATAATACGGCACATTCATTGAGCATCTACTCGACGTCAGGCACTCATCCAAGTGCTGTGATGCTTTAACTCATTGGGCCCTCGCAGCCACTCCCTGCGGTACATGTTACTATGATGCCCATATTACAGATGAGAGAACGGGCCCAGAGAACATTGTTTCCAACAGTTACACAGCTTGTATGTGGCAGCACCAGGGTTGAAGCCAGGCATTCTGGCTTCAGAGCCTGTGTTCATAATCACTAATATACTGCCTCCCCTGAAATATCATGCTTAGAGGAAGGGATGAGGAAAAAAACTGGCTCCTTTTCTAATGAAACCTTCCTGGTGTTCTAAAGAATTTCCATTAGCAGATTTTCTTAAGGTGCCAGAAAAATGTGACATGTGACATGTATACTAGGAAAAAACATGATGGCTTCACCTTGGAGAGAGTACGAACAATATAATTGCACCTGAGTTTTTAATTTAATCTTGTTACAAGCTCACTGTCTTTTATTACCTTAAGCCAACAAGAGTTAATTCAACGAGTTAACAGACTTACAGGCATTTGATTCACATTTACTTAAAGTCATTTTTAGGAATGATGATGGTATTTTATACATTAATCTAAATCTGGGGGGTTCCCACTATAAGTAAGGCTCTCGCACAAAAGACATCAAGTTGAAACATACACACTCTCTGCCCCCAGGAGTCCACGCCCTGGTGGTAGACAAATCATTACAGTGCATAGAATTATCATTTAATACATTAGGTTCTAAAACAGGGGGATACGCTCTAGAGGTGACCGACTCAATTTATGGTGTCCTAAAAAATAGATGACTTTTGAACTGAGCCAGTCAAGATCAGTGCACTTCCCTAGATGGAAATAGAAAGGAAGGGCATTCTTGGTAGAGGGCACAGCATAGACAAAAGTCTGGAGGCATAAAAGAATATCACATGTGTAATTTTTTTTGCTGCCAGAGTGCAAATTGTTTAGGGGGGCATGGTGGGAAAAGACCCTGGAGACATCAGTTGGCAGAAGATTATGAAGCCTTTGCCTGACTCAATGGTTATGCTTGAGGGCAATAGGGAGTCAAAGGTTTTTTAGGCAGGAGAGGTGAAGCGAGGAGGGCTGGGTTAAGGAGGGAGAGCTTGGCTACAGAGAAACCAGCCTGAAGGCTATTTTAACAGTTCAGTTGAGCAGTACCCAAAATCCGAGCTAGGCAACCTTATAAAAATAAGGGGTGTTTTAAACCCCATTGTACAGGTGAGAAAATCAAGGCACGAAGGAGTAATTTGGTCAGTGTTGCACGGCTCACACTCAGAGGAGCTAGGATTCAAACCCAGGCAGTGGGACTGTAATACCCCCTTACACATGTCATGACACTGCCAGGTTGGCTGATGGTAGGTGAGACAGGACAGAGTCGAGGCAGCTAGAAAGCCTATAGCTTGAACCACAGAGAGGAGTGGAGAGTGCTCCCAGGAAGCACTATGTGGACCACAGAGGAGAAGCAGAGCAGGCGAGGGATCCAGGAGTTTAGTCTCAGACAGGTGGTCCAGGAGGTCCAAGAGCCCGGCCAGAACACCACGGAACTGTTGGCAATGCCAGGGCTGGTAGGCTTCAGGAGAGCTGGCATAGACTGGAGAAAGTCAACTGGACAGGGAATATCAGCACTAAATAGACACCATGCCACCCAGCACCCTCACCCTGAACCCGCAGAACCTGAGGCCATGAGAGGCAGCTCAGAGCGCCAGACTCATGTTCAAATTCCAGACTAGATGTATGTCGTGTGTATGAGTTTCTTCCCTTTGCAAAGCAGAGTTTTTTCCCTTATAAAGGGAAACCTTAATATTTCATTTGCAAATGGTTATAAGGATTTAAATTAGTATGTATCTGAAGCACCTAGTTTATTGTTCTCCAAAAGTAAGTGCTCAATAATTGGTCATAATGATTCTTTTTTTTTCTTTATTGATTAAGGTGTTACGTATGTGTCCTTATCCCCCTATGGGCCCCATCCCCCCCACACACACACTCCTCCACTCATGCCCTCACCTCCCTGGTGTCTGTATCCTTTAGTTAGGCTTATATGCATGCATACAAGTCCTTTGGTTGATCTCTCCCCTTTACCCCCACCCTTCCCTACCTTCCCTCTGAGCTTTGACGGTCTGATGGATGCTTCTCTGATTCTTATCATGATCATCACTTAAAGGCTTCCACCCCACACACACACACTCCTCCACTCATGCCCTCACCTCCCTGGTGTCTGTATCCTTTAGTTAGGCTTATATGCATGCATACAAGTCCTTTGGTTGATCTCTCCCCTTTACCCCCACCCTTCCCTACCTTCCCTCTGAGCTTTGACGGTCTGATGGATGCTTCTCTGATTCTTATCATGATCATCACTTAAAGGCTTTGTCCAAGGGGAGGCTAGAGTGTGGGGAAATGCTCTGGGCTGCCAGCCCAATCATTCTCTTGGCAATTTTTTCTCATAAAATTATCTTACCTACATGGAATTTTCACTAATTTCTCAACCCAAGAAAAGAAGTTCTTTTGAGGAACATGAATTAACCTCTTTTTTAAAATCAGTTTTCTCTCAGCCAAAAGAAAATCCTAGAGAATCAGAGTAAATTACATACAGGCATATATAATTAAATATAAAATATTGATTGAAAATACATCTAGTGCCACATTTTCCTAGCGTCTTCGATGACTAAGGCAAAGTTGAGGCGTGACTCATTGTGTCTAAAGAAGAATCAGGGCCGAGGAGCGATAGGAAGTATGTCCTCAGCCACGGCCACCTCCCTCAGGACCTTTCATTGTGACAGAGTCTGTGTTCACAAGGGGCACTTCTCCCAAGAGGTCTTTGAGGAGTCACAGACATTCCGAGATCTAAACACCTACAGAAAAACTTGGACTTGGGAACACTGTAGAAGCCTTGATCACTGGAGGATATGTAACCTTTTATTTATCACTTTGTCATTCCCAACTCCTTCAGACATATTTTTCTTTGGGATTCAATGTGGTGACTAATAACATGGTTATTTAGTCAAAGACCTTGGGTTTGAAAAATTACAGTACAGAAGAATTTCTGGTAAAATGACTCCAATTCACATCACTCACACCACACACACACACACACACACACACACACACGCCACATACACAAAGTTCAAAACACAAATACACTTAAGAGTAAAAAAGGACATTGCAAATAAATGAAATTTAGTGTTTAATTTGATTGCCTCCAAGACAATATGTTCGGTAAGGATGTGAACATAAGCAATGTGGAAAAAGTATAAAAAATAAAAAAACAGGAAGCAGTGCCAACCTCATCCATGAGAAATTAGGATGGATGTTTCGAGACAGAAATCTTTTTTCCTTCCCCACTAAAGGTTCTTGGCCTTTTTCATTCTCTTCTCTGAACAGGCTGTGGAGTGTCAGACGCTGCTAGTTCTCCATCCTTCCCTGCCCCCGCCCCCACCACGCTTATCTGAATATATAAGCCTGCCCTTTGCTCAGATTTATGGGTCTGCCAGGGCTGTGTGTATTTACAGTGTTCTGACCTGAAGACCCCGAGCTGAAGGAGAAGAGGAGGAAACCGGGCCCATTCCATAAACAGAGACAGATATGAGGGGGAGGTAAAAGGCTTTGCTAGCACTTAACATTTTTAACTATTTGGCCAAGTTTAAGAATTAGCGATTAGATTAGAGTAAAAGAAAAATGAGAGACATGGGTGCAGACTTGGCAGGGAGCAAACTGTAGTTCTGCTTTCGTCTAGTTGCTTGGAGGTTCTAGGTTCGGGGGTGAGAGTGAGGTTAAATTTAATGCGGAAGGTCTGAAAGAAAATTGATATAAGTCAGACACAAAGGGAGCTATGAAATGCTTTGGGAAGAAGGCAGAGGGTTAGCAAAGAGGAGGATATGAACGACATTTAATAAGTTGGAAAATGTCTCCAACCACAAGTTGAGCTCCTTGTGTGAAGCAAGACTACTTGCATTTTTAAAACTGTAATTGGTTATAGAAGAAAAAAAAAATCCTCCTCCATGTTTCAATGAGAACACATTGCCACAGATTACTAAATCCCAATCCATTTTTGAGTTGAAGGATTTTTCTCAGGGCCTGGTGGCCCACTTGAAAGCAATTCCATTTTCAAACAGGACTGCTTGGTAAATGGGCCACCCCTAGGCAAAGAGATGGGTCCATGCTCCAGTTCAAATGGAAAGTAAAGAGCAATTAAGTCTTGAGCAGTGCCTGGCACCCATAAACTGAACCCTCTCCTCAGGGCATCTGTGTGCATGGGCCAGATACAAAAGCACAACTTCTCCTTGGGCCGTTTTCAAATAATCTACTTGCTGGAGAAACTTGAGTTCATGGAGAAGAGCTCTGACCTACCAACTGACTAAATTAGAAACAATCCAGCATGCTAAGTAGAAGCTACACTATTCATTGAAGTTCTCAAAAGCAAAGCAACTGGGACACCATAGGAAGTGAATCGTCCACAGATCATTTTACATTGCACTTGAAGTGGTTCTCAACCTTCCTAATGCCGCGACCCTTTAATACAGTTCCTCATGTTGTGGTGACCCCCAACCATAAAATTATTTTCGTTGCTACTTCATAACTGTAATTTTGCTACTGTTATGAATCGTAATGTAAATATCTGATATGCAGGATGTATTTTCATTGTTACAAATTGAACATAATTAAAGCATAGTGATTCATCACAAAAACAATATGTAATTATATATGTGTTTTCCCATGGTCTTAGGTGACCCCTGTGAAAGGGTCGTTCGACCCCCAAAGGGGCCGTGACCCACAGGTTGAGAACCACTGCTCTAGAGCAAAGAGCTGCAATGGACATGGTATAAGCTGCGGTTGGAGCATTTCTGAAATACCATGGAATTATTTCTTTTAGCTCAATATATGGCAACCATGTGCCCAGAAAGTTACCTGTTAAAGCATCTGCTATAATTACATTTGTTTGATTGGAACTTTTTGTTTTAGTTAAGGTATGTCCTGGGTAATAAAGAGTGTTATTATTACATCCCATTGCACATGGGTTTATGTGACTTGGGTTGAAGTATCAGTAATACTTGCATGAGGAAATGCATGTGCTTAGCACTGTGTGTGGCACTTCAGAAGTGTTAACTGGTTTATCAGTATTATAATGTTAAAAACAGTAGTCAGAGATCCAAAGTACAATTCATTCTGCAGCTCAACTTTGAAGAACTTTATTATACAAAAGGCACTGCAATGCATTTTCTTTTCCACCCATATTTGGCATTTTATGTTTAAAGTTAAACATAAAATTCAGATCCATAGAGCTAAAGAAGGTGTTTGACTGTTACACGGATGCAAGCTGACTATCCAACAGTAAAAACTTGGGCAAAAAACGACAAGTGGGAAAGGGCTACCCTCGCAAGGTCACATTACTCAAGTAAAATGACATAGATACTATTCTAGAAAACTAATTTTTTATTGCTCTCAGTTTTGAACTTTTCTCTGACATAACGAAACTTCTGCTTTGTAAATAATGCATGCTCAAAACAGATGCAACTGCATGAGGAGTATTTAGGGGGAATTTGGGGACTATTACAAGGCAGCTAAGATGCTTTCCTATGTCATTTCTGTTGAGATCCATTTGCCAGCGAAATAATTTTTTCCTCTAATATGGTGTGGATCGCAGCAACAGTGGGTTCAGATGTAACCATTTAGGAGCAGAGGCCTAGCTCAGTATGCCAGAAAAAAAAAAAAAACACGCACCACAAAGAACATTGAGATGAATAGCTCTATTTTATGAGCCATAAAAGTTTTATTCATCTTGACACTGAAACAGGTTTAGGCAGTGAGTTGACACGCCTTAAATAAATAAGTGGAATTAATTCCCTAGCCCTTGAAACAATAGCAGCATGCATGTAGCACGGAGAAATGCCCCATTGTTTCCCGTGGCTGCCTGATATTGATATTATTTGTGTTTTTCTGTGCTGCTGCCTCAGGGGCCTGGTTGATCCACTTCAGATTCATCCCCTGTTTTATTAGAGGTTGAAAAAGGTTCAAGACCTGTTTGTACCGCAGCTCCCACCGACAGCTAAGGAACCAGTTTGGCGTCTGGTTTGTCTGTTGTTTTACTGCTGACCTTCAAATCAACTTTAACCCCTGACCTCTGGAGGCATCTATCATGACAAGAGGCTGTTTAACACAAATGGTGCCCATTTATAGGGGAAGAGACTCAGAAGATTTCCTTTTTTTATGAAGAATTTCGTTTTTCACCCCTCTTTTCTCAGTCACCACAGGTGAAATCCCTCTTAGCAGCTGGCTTATGAAATAATGTGAAGGGAGGCCTTAATGAGCAGAAAGCACCCTCAGCTGGAGATAAATATATGCAAATGAGATGCACAAACAAAGGAGCCTGGACAGAGAAATATCTGCAATTCCAGCAAAATGCTGCCTGCAGCTCGAAGATGAACAGCTTTGATAAAATGGTAACAAAAAGCACCTTTTTATCCTCCAGCGTGTTTTACATCGCAATAGACCATTGTCACTGCAGCCCAGTAGAGCATGTCCCGGTTTTCTGCACTGTTTCAGAAAACTGTTTAAACATTTGTTTTAAGGCATTCATGAAATATAATCAATGGGCTGCTTCTGGGTTGTTGTTGTGATTTTTTTTTTCCCTGAGTGTGTTCTGGATGTTACTGGAATTATTTTACCTGTTGGTCTTTCCTGGTTTGATGTTGCCAGAGTCTCACGGTGCTATTTCACGTTTTGGTGACTGTCTCTTTCATGGGCTAGAATGATTTTTTTAAAAAAACATTTCGATGAAAAGAGGTTTCAGGTTAATCACCAGTCAGAATTGGCTTTGAGGAAGGGTCTGAACCATGGCAGAGAACAGCACCCAGACAACTACGTTTAATGATGGCAATCAAGGGTAGAGAGCTAATTCAGAGACAGACATGGAACATGCTGATTTTAATAAGCTTTAAAAAGGCAATCTCTAACTTTTAAAAGTCGATTTTTAATTTAATCGTCCTTGGTTCCTATTGATGCCAAAACAAACAAAACCATTAAAATATGCTTTCAATATGTATCTGCAGTGGTATTGGATGGTGTCTGAAAATTAGCATTGTGTTGGGAAAGTGTCAATTTGATGAGCTTTAAAATGGAAAAGCTAAAATTATCAACCTGTTTTTTTTTTGCGGGGGGGAAGACTTTTTAAATTGTTTAATAATCCCTAAATGGGAATTGAACCCCAGCCCCGAGATCTTGCCAGAAAGGGGCTGGACCCATGATATGAAAATTGCTGCATTTGAACATATGTTTAGGTTCATAATCAAAGCAGTTAAGGTGAGAGAAGAAACACTGTACACTGCACATGTGTCAAAATGCTATCGCTCTGAGAGCTCAGCAATATTGGGTTCTTACATTTATAATCCCATCCGAGCGCTCTGCAGCAGAGGTGCGGCCGATCTCTCCGTTTCCTTTACCTAAATTATTTCATCTTGCTAGCGTGCCTTGGAGTGGAGACATTTCTTCTGAATACTGTGTAGCTTTCACATTTTATGTGCATTTCATCAGGCAAATGTCAAATTTGCTAATAACAAGAAAATCTCCTCATTTTTAATCATGCCACTCCTGTTGCATGGCGGGGTAGGGGAGGGGGGTGCGGCAGGGGGCGGAGGAGGGAACATAAACGCATTGAGCAGCCTGGCCAAAGGGAGCAAGGAGAAAATGCTTTTTGGGGCTTTAAAATGCCACATGCTCGGTTATCCCAGGGTCTGCATCGGCGCGTCATTACGTTCAGAATTTCAGGAGTTAATAGAAACTTGGTTATATTAGGGATGCTTTTTCAAGCCCAGGTTTGAAGCCGCATAATTATGTTCAACTGCTGTTGTTTGAAAAGGGCAAACAGCATCTTAGGCACAGAACAATGAAATTACAGCTGAGATTTAGGTTAGCAAAAGCCGTCTTCTCTAGGCTTTTATGATTCATTATTTCCCATTAAATACAGTATTAGAAGTGTACACTAGATAGCTCATGGTTGCTGCTCTCGGAGCACATTATCTATATTACACAGGTCTGGGGAGCAGAATTAGAAAACTTTGGGGGAATGAGCAATATGTGTTTGCTGATAGAAGTACCATATGGCTCATCTTCTTCAATTGCTTTCATTGCGACTCTGATGCTGGAGAAATTAAAGTTTTATTTGATGTGGCACAGCTTAATGAACTGTCTTCTGTTAGGAAAATTGAATATGTTTCCTGTTATTTGAGCACAGAGCCTCCATGGTTTGGCTGATGAGGGATGCATTATGTATTGTTTATTTAGCATTTTGAAAACAAAAGCAAGATATTGAAGGTAAAATTGATTACTGCTGGATTGCATTATATAATCAAGTTTTCTCCCTTTAAATTTCCCTTCACAATCCTTTGGTAATGCTTCAAGGGGAGATTGTTCCAGGTTTTGTTTTCACAGTATGCAGGGCGTGGCTTTTATCACGATACCTTTGTTTGTAAACAAGCCACAGGGAACTCTAAACCCAGGGCAGTTATATTTACAGAGTTCAAAGAATGATGTTTGGGAGAATGAAAATAATTCAATCCCTGTGACTCTCATTGCAAAACTTCCAGGGAGCCCGAAATCGGTTTTGAGAGAATCTAATATTTGCTAGTTGAAAGGGGGATGTCACTTTCTTTTGTCTGAAATAAGCCACTTAAGAACCAGGGTGGGGCCATCAGAGAAGGGAGAGATGTGGAATATTTGGAAATACAAACCTCAAAATATCAAGTTTTCGATTTTTGAGTTCGTCGCCAGTGAATGAAAGGTTGGACTCAACCTGTGCATTTAAAAGATGAAGCACATAGCCCATGAATATAGGTTGTTTGCTGAATGAATACAATGAGAGAAAACATCAAACAGAAATATACTTACATGATGAGAGACCTGCGTGTCAACCCGTTCGAATGCTCTCCACTCCCTGAAGAATCTGCAAAGAAAGATATTTAGCATTTTGCTCAGTATCCCGAGTTTTGTTCCAGTTTTTTTTTTTAGTAATAAAAAAACAACAACTGAATAACCTAAAAAGACTGAACATAAAATCATCTTCTAATCACTGCGTTTCTTTCATTTTTCAGTAAGGAATATACCCCACATGGGCTGAGGACTCGGGCTCACCGATCTGCAGCAAACAACGAGGATAAAAAAAAAAAAAACAGTTAAAATGAATCAACATTTATCTGGATTATACAATCCTGACCTTAAAAAAAAAGTCATTTATCTTCTGTGTCCTGTGATGTTTTGAGGATTCTGGCAAATATGGCAGTTAAACAAACTTCTCTCACAATCTAAATACTGTCTGTTCAAGAGAGGCTTCCAATGTTTATAGGCCATAAGTAAAGAAGAAGGGAAAAGAAAAAAAAAACACAACCTGGTATTTAACCAAGAATAGTGCTCTTGAAAATGTCTCTGAACAAAGTGTTTAAGCAAAACTTTGGCCACAGATATTCTCCATTCCTCATTCTTCCTCTGATTTTTTTTTCCTGCAAGGAGGTATTTTCATATGCCATCCTTTCATTCCTCTTCTTGAAATTAACAAATTAATCTCAAAAAAATTAACGCCTGACTAGTGACCTGGTCAAACCAACTTCCTTTAGAAACAGTGGAGAAAAAGAAAAAAAAATCACAGATTATGAAGCCCATCTCCTGCCAGGGGCCTCGGAGGAGGAACACCATTATGCATTGTTATCAGCATGGTGTAATTTGACTGTTGACAAAGTATCCGTGGCAGTGAGAATGAGCGCAGTTAGAAGTGTGGCGGATTGTAATCAAGGAGATGCTTAGCTGTGCAACACTGCATCTTGAGCAGATTTGAATCAACATTGCCTTAAGGGGACACACACACACACACACACACCAAAAGGGGGGAAAATCCATTAATTTTTACTGGGAAAATTAGAGTGGCACTTGATGAAGTGAAATCTGACATGCGTTAATTGCTCTGCAGTTCTCCTAATTAGAGATCTTCAAATTCTTTTACTGCTGTCACCGTGACGCACATTGTCTCCCTGGACAAATACTGAAATGGCAACTTCGTCTGATCAGGAAGTTCTCCCGAGGCAGACCGGACTGTCTCCTCTCGTCCATTTCCCAAAAGGGGGGCAGCTGGAGAGCAGAGAGGGATTTTCGGCTTTACCTGCACTGCAGATAAAAAACGGGCTTATTAAAATGGTTTTGTTATGAGACTTAATGTCCAGGAAGCAGGTGCTGATGCATTTTTCTTAAACAGCTGGAAATGTTCCTTTGATACTCGTGCCTCTGTTTCTCATGAAATATTTCAGGTTGCGGGGGAGAGGTAGGGGGAAGCCAGGGAAAGGCTGCGTGACATACACATTCTCATATTTCTACTTATATTCCTCAGAAATTGGAGAGAGGCGGGTTTGAAAGGCCATGTCACTTTTTCCCCAGCTCTGACGTCTCAGGCAGCAGCCCTCCTGCTGCCCCTCCTTTGCCTAAAGTAATTACACTGCTCTTGGGGCCCCAGGATGGCACCAAATATGACACCATCATAATTTTTGGTTTCCCTCTTTCAACCCCTCTTGTGTAGCCCTTGAACCTCTCTTAATTCATTAACATATTGAATTTTTTTTCAATTTCCCATTTTCTCGCCATAACAATATTAATTCCGGGGTGAGAGCTTGATTGGAGCTAAATTACTTGTTACCTGCTGGCATTTATTTATATGGCATTGAATTATAAAGCTTTGCTATTGTCATGCCTTGGGCGAATTGTTTATGACACCAGTAATAGGAGTAATTGTTATTGTTGAAATTACCTGTCAGCTACCCATAGCAGTGGCCCTTGTCCCACTGACAAATAGTGACAAGGGAGAGGTACCCTCCGTGCGTCCCCCTGATGGCTTCTCCTCCGATAATAAGAAGTGCAGGGCCTCTGATAATTTGCCTGTCACTGTTGAGTGCAGCTCAGAGAGAGTTGGCCAAATTGTTGTCATTCACTTTGACAAAGACAGCAAATGCCCCTGTGCAAGGAGGAGGATTATCAAAATAAATGAAATCGCTTACACCCCCTTTGTTTGTTTGGCTCGAGAATTGCCTGGCTTTGTATGAGGTGGTGAGACCGGGGGCCAGTTGCGATAGACCTCTGCTCATGCCAAGGCGAGGATCCCAGGGAAAGAAAGACACTCTAGAGGACTCGCTGTTTTGCGATTTGCTATTTGCTATTAAAATTATATTCAGATATAAAAAGTCCATAACATTGTAACAAGACATCTAAATATGTGGTTGAATACACTAGGTTAAAGCGCATGTAAAATTTTTCTCTCCTGCCTTCTTTTTATCCCTCTTTTTTTTTTTTTTTTTTTTTTTTTTTTTTTTTGGCCCAGGCAGGCATTCAAATTCAACATGCCTTCAAAAATATAGATATTTCCCAGGTTGCAATTAAGTTTTATTTAAAAGTAGAAACCTGCACCTCTGATGCAGATTGGGGGGTCAAATTTGGGGTTATTATTTCAAATGGCGAGTTCCTCTCTATAAATCATAGTTTATTTGTGTAGTATCTTCGCGTGTAAAGAGATAAATGAAACGTAGTTCCAGGTCTGAAGCATCAATTATCACAGGCGAACAGAGGAAGCAAAATGACTCTGTTTGTGCCAGAGCTCAAATATAAATATTTGCATTTTAAAATCCCTTGGTTGCAGCCTGTGAACCTGTCCTCAAGGAGAGAAGGGGACAGGGGTGTGGGGCACAGTGTCCTGGAGTGTCCACATCTGGACGAAATGGACTTTACAGCAATCAAACCTTTGCTGTTGTAAAAACCAAAATCACCCTCACCATTCCACCAAAGGCGTCATTTCATGCCAGGAAGATTCTTATTTTTAAGGGGCCTGTGAGGTTATTCCTCATAGATCTTCTTGACAAATACTTGCTGTTAGACGAAGCTGAAAAGAAAGGGAAAAAATGAGTAGGATAAATGTAAAATATTGGCTCCTTATGGGATAGTAATCAGCTGTTTATTGGTCTCTACCAGACAAGCAATGACCAACCCCAGTGTTAAGTGCCAGCAACACTGCCTTGGGCCCTTCCCTCCTAACACCGGCCATTATCTGATTAGAGAACCTCCAAAGAAGTCACTATTGCATAATTTTATGGGTCTTAACAGCGCAGGTTGGCTGGCAGGAAAACTACCTAGGAGGGTTGATAAAGCAACAGTGAAACATGATTTCATTTACTCCACTTACACCTTGCTCTCTGAAACAGTCCGTATCGCAGATGCTGGTGGCTGCAGGAGAAACCTCAAATTGGTTCCAGTAGGAAGGCAGAAGGGGAGAGACAGGAAAAGCAAAATTATCTATCCCTTCAAGCTTTTCATGAGCTGCACAGTTTGAAGTAGTTAACATCATTATAAGCATCTAGACCTTTTCTGAGGTGTTTCGTATGTCAAGCCAGTAAATCAGTTTTCAGCAGAGCTAAAATCATACATGCAGCAATGTGGTGATGGGAATAAAATGAGTTTCTAATTCTTAATGATAACGGAGTCTTCTTCAGGCGACCACACTCTGGTTAACCATGTTGAATGTCCCTGATTAACAAGTGGAAGGCAGTGACATAATTAAGAGGTTATCTGAGTAATAAAAATGCTCAATCCTGTCTTGGAATGTGATCCCTTTAACAGATAATTTTTAAGAATGTAGCATGTCCTTGCTTTCCCTGTCGAGACACACGTTAGTGATCCCAGGAGGGAAAATAAACATACGTTTTTTAAATGAAGATATTTAAAATGTACCCCATATTTCAGCGTGTTGCTATAACCTGGTCTTTTTTATGTTCCTCCTATAAAACCTAAATTAAGCCTCTTAGGAGTGGTTTTGCTGTAGGTTTCGTCTAACAGCACAATACATTTTAAATGGTTGCAGTACTCGAGTGCACTTTAACATGCAATCAGAAGGTTCATTTTCTTCCCTCCCTTTCCAAGCAGCCGCTCTTCGGAAAGGATGAGGCTCCTTTAAAATGTAGCTTCATTGGAAATGTAAACTTTTAACAAATAGTAATTGCTCAAGTAGCTCTATTGATGAAGTGACTGGCAGCAAATCTTTTCTTTCTCTCTCCCTCTCTCGTGTAACATTTTGAAACACCCATCAGTGTCAAAGGAAACTGTACACGTCTCCTTTGCTGCTCTAAATAAGGCTCAACAATGTTAAGAAAAATGTCAGAAAAAGCTCTCTGGATTAAAGTAACATTTCTGCACCATGTCACGGAGAATGGCAGGCAGACCGGTCTGCGTAATTCTGAAAGATATTTTTCGTAAAATGCTTACTCTATAAGCCCAATGAAATTTTATTTGGAAAGACTGAAGATTGTATTGAGAGCATGCAACGCTCGGTTGTTTTTCTAAATCTTGTTATTCCGTAATATGCCTTTGGTCTGTATTTTTAAAATTAGAACAATGATACCCAAGTCTCTTTGTAGAACGTTTCTCCACCCGCGTGCAGCGTTAAAATACAATTTGGAGTCTTCAATGCATTTTTCTTTCCTTTCTAAAATTCCTAGGGTGTTCATTCAGTGAAAGCAGTAAAAATCCCCGGCTCTTACACATGCAAATTCATTGAACTAATCAGTCATTTTCCCCCTTAAATAAAATTTGTATATATCTGTGGAGATTTGCAAAAGAGTTCATTTATAGTTATAAAAAAATAAAGCACTTACATTTCATTCATGTATTAAGAATAAATGACTGGTTGGAGGTTTTTAGTTTGTTCTGTTTTCTTTTTCTAAGGAATATTCAGAAATTGCAAGAGTGTAATGGTAGTAAAATATCTCAGGGTATCACAGGTATGTAATTAAAACTTAGCAGCTAAAAAAAGAAAATATCTTACAAATTCAATACTAGATACCAATGGACATGGCAATATTTGTTTTACAGAAACAAGGTGAATCTCAGCTGATTTGAAGTATAAACTTTTTCAAAACAGGTTAAAAATGAATTTAGACAAATTTGTCTCTTAACCTTTAAAGATTTCCTGCCCGTTTCTGTCTGTCTTTTATTACATTAATTTTTTATTTAAATTACACCATTAACTGGATATGAATTTATCAAGAATGCATGTATTGATTTATAAAACAGTACCATTAATTATTATAATAGCTAGATGTAGCTGATATTACAAAGCCATTTAAAGGTTTTTAATATAAGTTGGACATACATAGATAGATAGACATTATGGACAAGACTACAATTTAAATTGGCTACCAGCAGTTAATGAAATCCTTGATTTATATTCTAGTTTAGAGATTGATTATATTGTTGCTTTGTAAAACTATTTATATTATGCCATTTTTCAAAGGATGCCTCAATAAAAAAGTTAAATAAAATATTCAGTCAATTCCCCAAGCAGATTTTGTTTTCTATATTTTAAATGCTAGTGAAAATAATTGATTGTGTGTGTTCCAAGCTTTGTCATTTCCATTCCAGAAGTGGCTTTCCTGATGGGATCCTCGTTTGCAATGCACACGTTCCCACACTCTTGATCCTCGCAGAAACAAACCCCTGCTCTTTATTTCATTACCCACACCACCCCCCACCACCCCCGCCTCCAACAAACCCACGTATATTTCACAAAACCCGCACATCAGGACACATAAGTCTTTTTGGCGTCTTTCATGTTATGCATTTTTTTTTTCCTTAAGGTTGTGGAAAACTGGGACTTACCCCAAAGCCGCAAAACAGGCAATCGCGAAGAGTATTTGGGTAAGAATGCAATCTGAAGAGAGAAAAAAAAAGAAAGATGAGGAAGAATATAAGCAAATAACAGTAACACGTTCAAATTACTTTTCAAATGGTAATTAGCCAACGAATAGATTGAAAGTTAAATTCTTTTCACATTGTACTTGGTGTGGGTTTCCTAGTCTTTTTATTTATATCACTTTTCCTTGCCTGGCAACATATGTTACCGATTTATTATAGTATTTTTACTGTTAGCAGACAAATCTAAAGGCTAGCTGAGAAGGCTAGCTTCATCTGATGACTTTAACAACAACTGCAGGGCATCCTTGAGGGTGAGCCAATAGGCTCTTTTGAAGCTATAATACTATTAACCATTTTGATGCCAAAATATTTCTTATAGCTAAAGCTGATTCTGTCTCTTTGTGGGCGCTCCGGGTTTTACATACACAAAAGTTAAATGTAAATGATTTGTTTTGTAAATATTTCAATAGCCTTCTAAGCACTTTCTTCCATGTGTCTTAAGTTCCCTAAAAGCCATCTGAATGCTTTGGTTTCTTTATTTTCCCTTTCTTTTACAGGACACTGAAATCTGGACACACATTTATAAGTAAACAGCTATCAAGCATCAAGTTAAGTTGTCACTTCACCCTCCCCCATGCCATTAATTTTCTGCTGTGCTTTTAAAGGAAACAAATATCCTTTAGAGTTTCAATGATCACATATCTCTGATATATGTACAGCCCGGAAAAGTAAAGTTCAAACAAGACTCTTTTTGGCTAAGAATCTGAAATTGCTTTCCAAATTAAAGATGCCATATTATGGCCATGTTAATGGATATGTGATAGTAGGCAAAGGTTCATGCCTTTTAATATGTACGCATGAGAGCTCTGTTTCAGAATTGTATTTATTGACCAACATAATTCATTGTAGAGTTGTCAAATAACAAACTTCTATTTTTCGATCATCTGTAATTTGCTTGAGTCCAAATCATATACATTTTTACAAAACCATCCTTTTCTCTATGGAAATGTCCCATGGGGAGTTTCAGGTTCCTTTTATAGAATTTATTTTGAGCACACATGGGTTGAAAGCTTAGAAATCAAATCTTAAATATTGGAAGCCAGTATTTCTGGTCTACCAAGTCCAGCTCAGCAACTAAAATTTAACATAATCTTTATATTAGGCTTCAACCAATAAAAAAAAACAAAAAACAGAAATCCACTGGAGCACTTAGGGGTCTGACTGTCAAAAAGAGAGTTTTGAGGACCTGACATGCACTCTGCACCCTGGGATCCAGAAGGTGCTGAGACGTATTGTCTGTCCACACATAAAAGATTCTGCCTGCAAATCATAGCTATGCCACAGTTCTCCCACATATTTACAAATACATGGTCTACCTGGTTGTGAGGTATTTGCATACAAAATTTGCCTTCAGAACAGGTGGCAAAATAACTACCGCCCATCTAACCATTCACCTGATTCTAATTTTTTGTGTTCAAAAGTCTCAGATCTTCATCATTTACACTTAATATACTTTCTGTCATCTTATTTTTAGTATTAACTATGACTCTATCACAACAATAATAATAAGTAAATGTCATATGGTTATACAGTTCCATTCTAGTCTAATTTAGGTTAGTATTTCAGGGGCCTTGTTGTTTATATCTGTTATCAGATGTTTATTTATTTAGTCCCTGAGAGGTATCTTATGGTGACTCGGGATAATTTTAGGTCAGAAGCAATTATGATCCAAAGGGTTTCAGCCTCAGAGAATGAGGCCAACTTTCTGAAAGCATAAATCCACAGAGATTCTAAAAATGATCACATGTAAGGTTATGAATATCCAGGTTACTCAATGCTAGTCCTGCCTGTCACTCCGTGAATGAACCTGTCCTAAATGCGATGATTAGGACAAGTTCATCTTTAAAGGTTAATCCTCTTAGAGAAATGAATGGAGGCTAGACTGCTGTTGGAGGCCTTCGAGTTTTCTTCTTCAAAAAAATATATTCTTGAATCAAAATCATATCTCCAGCAGAGTTCCAGCTCCATATTCAGAAGCATGTTAACTGTGGGCATGGGGCTGCAAGCTCCATGATGCTTGATGCTGAACTTGATGTTCTTCTAGACCAGGCCCTCTCTCTACCCTGTGCTTCAGTGCCCTTAACAGAGGGAGTGTCCTGGGCTGTCCCTTCTCTGCTTCCCTTAATCTGCCCCCATCCACTCATCCCTCCCACATTCTCGCTCTCTCCTCCACCTCAAAGCAGGTGCCTTTTAAAGGACTGCATTGAATGATACAGGTTCCTCTGGCCTCCAGGCCCTGGCTTTGTCATTGTCATTCTGTAATATATCTGAATGGCCCCTTCCAGCAACTGGTGGAAGCCTAAGCTGAGATTCCCACTTTCCTGTTGTTCCCTCACCTCTACCTTGACCCCCAAGGGCCACCCCCCCACCCCGCTTTCTGTTTTGTCCATCACCCCCATCCTTTTCCCCTGTTTCTGACCTGCATTTTTTCTGGATCAGACGCAGGCAGGTTGAGAGGTAATGAGAACCAGATGGACATAGCACAGAAATTGCCCAAATGGGTATGAGAATGTGGGGAGCTGTCAGGCATGGAGAGAAGCTGGAATTTTTCAGCAATAAAATGGGATTTATCGCCACTCTACCACAGTCATTGCCGACAACCGTTTACCTTGACAGAAACCCCATTCCAATAGGCCACGCCGATGCAGATTCTTTTTTCCCAAAGAGTGATGATTGGTATTTGTTCTAAGGCTCAAATGGCCTGCACTAAAGGTGAAGCATTAGGCCAAAGTCCTGTATTCCCCACTGAGGCAAATGAACCTGCTAAAATAAGTTCCTTCCACAATGGCTGTGTAATTGAAACCAGAGAGTGAGAGAATTTGATAAATTGCTTGACCCTGAAGGAATGTTAAGGTCATAAATTTTCATTGCATTTTTTTCCTCTCTCTTTTTTTTTATTTGTATATATTGATTATATTTAGTATTTGCCTCAAAATTCAACAACTTACAGATCATCAGTCGTGGCCCCAGGGGGAGAGCACAGTAAATCATCCATTAAGAGGGCAGGGGGCATTCTCCCCTCATCTTCCAAAGAGGAATGTCAGCTCCTTGTCCGTATCCCAAGGACAGTCCTGGAGGTGTCTTACATCTCAGAATTACTCCAACTTAGCACACAATTTGTCCTGGCACGGACAAAGTCAACTCCACAGGAAAGACTTTTCTCGGAAGGGAGCTGCAACACTTCTATCATTTAAGAATGATGAGTTGTTAAGAAGCTGGCAACCCATTTGCAGCAATCACACCCACGTACCTTTCCCGCTGTAACTTAAAAAGAACAATTGTATTTTAGCTGGAAAAAA